TGGAAATATTGAATGGTATTTGGGACATACCAAAAAGGAAATGGTGCAGGGTATTTGGGACAGAGGGAATAGTATTTTAATTATAGTGAGTAGTTAAAAGTAGTGTAATGACACTTTTGTCTTTACTTTTTAGTGTCAAAGTAATGATGTAATGTAAAGTAGGAGTATTTGTGGAAAAAGTGAAGTATTTAATAAAATGTTTACTTTATGATTGGACGTTCAAAAATAAAAATATTTATACTTTCTAATCGGAGGAAGTACTATTCTTTAATTCAATCTAAAAAGTAAATAAATAATTTTAGTGAAATAGAGAAAGTGTTATATACAAGAAAAAAAAATATTTTGTTGGACAAACAAACTTTTATTTAATATATTAGATTATTAGATTCGATAAAAAAATGTAACCAAAATTTACCTAAAAAATAACGACAGTAAATTTCCACATTAAAAAAAAAAAAAAAAAAAAGACCACAAAATAACAAACACATATCCTAAAGGATATTTACGGTGAAAGAAGCAACAGGCAGAGTTGCAAGGAATGTGACAGAAGGTGTGTTGTCGTTAGCACGACACTATTCCTCAAATTAAATTAAATTAAATTAAACAGTGATGGTGGTGGCTACAGTGTTGAATTTTATTAAATAGCACAGTGTGTTACAAGATAACACTCAGTGTTATCATAAATATTACAACAATATACTTTAATATAATACAATTACAGCACATGACTTAACATCATATAATATAGTCTCATACAATATATACATGATTTTAGTACACGATATACTTTTATAAAGCCCGCACTATAATTATGAATTAATAGCACGTACTTTTTTATATAATAAAAACACGTACTATTTTTATATTTTACTTCCCCTGATTTTTCAAATAACATTCTCTAAAATAAATAAATAAATAAGTCTCAAAAGTCAAATTTTCTTGAAGAAATTAGAAGCCCAAAAAGTGTGTAGTGTCCCACACCCAACACCCACGTGTCAAAATCCAACTCCATTTTCATTAAAAATCCCCAACTCAACCCCACACGTGTCGGTTAACACATCCCAGCTGTACTATTACTATTCTCATTATTTATTTCATTTACATGTGACGCCTTTTAAATCAATTTATTTCCACAATCTTTCCACAAGAATTCGTTTAAATCAATTTTCCGGCGAAGAGGCTGGTGGAGATCCACGGCGGCGGCGGCAGTTCTGGCCGGGTTCAGGTTGTTTCTCAGTCGAATCGGCGGCGGCGGCGGAACCCGGCTGCGGCGGCGCGTGCGGATTCCGGTGATGGAGTGGTGGCAGAAAGTGGCTTTACCGGTTCGAAGAATTTTGTGCGCCGTTTTCGCCCGAGTCAAGTCTCCTAAAACCGGTTCGGCTCATTTCCATTTCTATTACATTTTGTCATCCAATTTTATTTTCTATAGTAAAAAAATACATACTTTTTTATTTTTACAAGTTTTTTTTTTTTTTAAAAAAAAGTCGTCCTTTTTTCAAAATTTAGGTTTTTAAAAAACAAAAATTAAAAAGAAATGAAAATCATTGGAGTGTCGATTTTGAAGTTGATAAACGAATGGGGTGAGAATATTTTATGTAAATTATCCAATTATTAGTTATTGGATATGATTTTATTTTATTTTATTTTGTCTGAAATTGAATCATAGAGAATAAATAAGTTCGTAATTTTGTATTTTTGATATAAAATAGATGAATTCCAATGAATATAAAGAAGTATATAATGTATTTAGACATCTGGTTTATTTACTTAAATATTAATTTTAATGTGATTTTGTTTTTTAAAAAAGTACATTAAATAAAAAAGATTTCGTATAAATTATCAAATAAAAAATAAATATTTGATCCGAGGCTAACAAAATTTTGGTCAACAATGCAAAACCAAAATTCAAACCTTAGAGAAGATCTATTATCATATTAAATGATTATCTCATTAAAATTGTAGACTAAAAGAAAATTGTATAATTAAATACTATGGTTCAGCTCGCCCATCATTTTTAGATTAATCGATTTTTAACGTGTAGCGTGAAAAATTGCGTAAAAGATATAAAATATATTATTTAAAATTGAATATTTGATTTTTCAGACTTTTTGTAATAAATATTTTAACTTTTCCTTTAATTTTTTATTGTTATAAAAAGATATTTATATTATTTATTATTATTATTAAAAGTAATAAATATTTTAACTTTTCCTTTAATTTTTTATTGTTATAAAAAGATATTTATATTATTTATTATTATTATTATTGGATAATTGCAATTAAAAAATAGTGTTAGAAGAACAGAGTCGTACGAAGTCTGCTGAAATGAGTAATATATTGTATTACATAAAATTATATAATATGTTGCTAAAATATGTTTTATATATTATATTATCATAATAAATCGACATTCGCTCGGCTCGACTCTGATCGTAATGAGATCGATTTTTCGGGTTATTTTCAGGAGGGGGGCTTCTGAAGCTACACGACGACATCCAAACGTGCGGGTACGAGGATGTCCAGATAATGTGGGAAATGCTAAGGAGGACCGAGGAGTCGGAAGTATGTCCGCGCAGCAAGCGCAGGCTCGGAGGGGGCTGGTTAGGACGAGCCTTTGCGCCCCCTTCCTCGACCTCGCCGTCATCTTCTTCCTCCGCAATGAATCGAGCTGAGTAAAATGTTGGGAAAGGTTCAAATCCTCAATGCTGCGACGCTCTCGAGAGTTGTTGTCGTTCGTTTTGGCGATACACGGTGCGGGCAGAAAGGCGAGAAAAAATTGTGGTAATGTGGTTTCGGAAACTACGGAATCACTTGTAAATACGACGAATATAGGTAATAAGATGGGAAGCGATGCGCCTGTCGAACTCAGTGTCTGGAAATTTCGATGCCGCTTTTTCAAGCGGTAAGAAATGCGACGGGGTCGTTGTAGTCGATCGCTTTCAAACTTTGTCAAAACGGGCTGGCGGGACGAATTAATTCATAATCCACTATAACTTATAAATTAGTGGGTTATTTGCGGATTAATGGGTTAACATTTTGGCAGCCCAATCCAATCCATCGGTGATCGTCGAGCCGAGCCAAGCTGGCTCATCCATTAACTTTTGGAAAATATGAAAATAGTTATATATACGTAATATATATTTAAAAATATATATACTAAAATTTATTGGTCGTTTTTTAAAAAATATGCTAATTGAAAATATTGACAATCACAAAAGAAAGTAATATAGTAGATAATATATATATTGGTTAAAAGAGATAATATATATTGGTTAAAAGAGAATATTATAATAGACAATATATATTGGTTGATAAATATAATATAATATAAATTTTTTTAATAAATTAATCTTATGATTTAACTTAATAGAATAATTTTTAAAACTATAGTAAAATGAATATATCATAACTCATATGTATATCTGTTTATTTTTTTATTTTTATTAAATATTAATATTAAACAATGATAATAATTTTTATTATAACAATATATAAGATGTAAATTTATTTAAAAGTTATTAATAAGAATCATTACTCATAAATTAAACAAATAAATTAATTTCGGATAGACTAAAATCACAAAATAAATAAATTTATTTAAAATATTAAAGATATAATATAATTATAATAATAATTATATTTATTTGGCTCACAGCGAATCTACTTCCAACCCACAGCGCAAGTGGGTTGATATATTTAAGCTCGCATTTTATTGATCAAAGATTCAACTCATTTAGCTAAAGAATAAGAATAGTATTGCGCCATTCGATCTAAATTCACCGTTTCATTAAGACGACGATGCGCCATTCGACCCTAATTCACCATATCATCAACTCTAGAATAACCCAAAATCACCATATCAAGAAGTCGAGAATAATAATGTGCCATTCGACCCAAATTCACCTTATCATCAAGGTCAAGTCTAGAATAACAATGCGCCATTCGATCCAAATTCACCTTATCATCAAGGTCAAGTCTAGAATAACAATGCGCTGTTCGACCCAAATTCACAAAGGCAAGTCTAGAATAAAATTGCGCCATTCGACCCAAATTCACCTTATCATCAAGGTCAAGTTGAGTCAATAATAACATTGCGCCATCCGACCCAAATTCACAATATTATCAAGGCAAGTCTAGAATAACATTATGCAAAGTAATACCACACTTCCATAAATATAAACACTGCAGCGCGAGTCTAGTATATATATATATATATATATAACATTGTGCGACATAATACCACATTTCCCATAAATATAATCATCGCAGCTCGCCTATCAGCACCCGGCGAAGCTGTTCTTGATGTAATAAAATAGTACAAATTTCATTACAACAACAGATAACACGGGATGAGATAATCTTGGCAATGTTCTTAACCGAATACATACCTCGACTATTAGCTTGTGAGTTGTGACCGAAAATTAAAATGCAGTATTAAATTCAACTTTTCCGGTGGTATTAAAACTTGCAAGATGAAAAGAAACAGTTAGGATAAGGCACTGAAACTTACAAGAATCAAGTCGAACCGAACAGAGCAGATCAGATCAGATCCGAGCCATGATCTTCCAATGTAATAAAAAAAAATAAAAACCAAAGTCGAGAACAAGTTCATGATAAAACAACCTTAAACAACAGACAAAACAAGAATAGTCACCACATGGCACCGGAGGAATCATTCAAAGTTAGAATCTTTCTCTTCCTTATAAGGAAAACATAACAAAATCTATGCGATCGAAAGAAACATCTTATTGCGTGTACTGTATGTAATAAATTCAAGGGCTCCAAAAGTTACTATAATTTCAAAACATTCTTTACGCGCCAACATGGTAAAAGAGCACTCGAAAACCAGCCAAATAATAGCTCGACAAGAATAAGGCTAAGGTCCACAACACGAATCTAAAACAAAATGCGCCATAAAAATTAACCTAAAAAATCCAACAAAATTATGATCAAAATAGAAGTCATGAAATCTCTACTAAAATATATGTATATATATATATGATTGAAATGAGCAACCTAACAGAACATCGGAAAATTTACACAATGAATAGTAACTGATTTTTAAAAAATCCCATCAAATACTATTCTGTCACAAAACATTACATTAAATACTAACTTTTTACCATTTTCAAAATTTTTTAAAACTCCAAAATTCCAAAAGTTTGTCTAAACGGAGTACGAAAATTTAATGCATAAATAAACACGAATCACGAGCTGCAAGAACAACAAATACGATCAAAAAATTCGCAACAAAGACCTTTTTTTTTTTTAACGGCAAGGCTTCCCTTCGCACACAACAAGCCAACAAACAAATCGATAATCCTCTCAATATCTGCAAAATCAATAAACAACAAGCTCCGAACAAGTATAAGATCAATCACATAACTAAGCAAGAAATTCAAAACATACTAACAGCATTACACATTCTACCATCAATTAAGCGACTAACCTCAATAGGGGAAGAAAGAAAAACAAGAAAGGACAAACACGAAAAGAATCAAGAACGCGCTAAGTTAAAATCCTGTGGTTAATATAAGAAGGTCCCAACCAATCTTGCCGGTGGAGATAAATACACACGACGGCTGCATCACATAATCCCACCATTTTTCGCTAACTACAGAAAATTATTCCTGCAAAACTGTTCTAGAAGTTTTATCGGTAGCTGTAAATTACAGGATCAAAAAAAATAACTACGGATAGAAGATAAAGCTAATCATACAACAGCGCAACCTAACTTAGGATTCTTCACGTACGAATTGGTTGCTAACGACGACTACTTCAAAGAAATCCGGATAGGCGCCATACCTCATTATCTTCGAAAATCGCTTCTCAAAAGGCCATGAAGACAAAAAGAATTTAAATCGACGACAAATGTTATTCTTCGAAAGCCTGTGTACATATTTTATCGAGCAGCAACGGCCAGTCCTCGCCAAGTTTCCTCGGATTCAGCTCCATAGCGACTCGAAAATCTTGCAAGGTAATCAAATGACCGCCGGAATTTTGCATCGGATATTGATTCCCCGGTTTCACACCATTAATCAGCTGCAAATCATTTTTCCGGTGGCGGGCGTTATTCTTCGTCGATTCTTGCCCGGACTTTGCTCCTACGAGTTCGATGCACGACCTAATTAGTCCTTTTACATAAGAATCCATACCATGGTTCAGTAAATTCGCAGAATCCGGCGACACCCCTTCGAGACCATGAGCCATGGCAATCTGATCCATTCGTTCCCTTAGGGTAAAACTATCCAACAACGCGTCGTCGTCAACTAATGTCCCGAAAAATCTACCGTCAGTCGCAGAGGGGGGCGGAGCTCTGCGGGCCCCTCCCGCGCTCGCCGAGCAGAAAGGAACCCCAAGCGGAGCTCGTACCAAACTCCTCGCACAAGCTTCTTCCCTACCGTTTCTAACTAACGATTTTTCATTCCGGTCGTTGCTATTTACATGCGCTGAACCATGCGGCAACGTTGTCGCCGCTTCCGCCATTTTCGCACGATCGACAACCATCTTTCCATTGGGCCCAAGAGCGCTACGACGATCGCCGCTTCTTTTATCGCGAGAACCGGTCCTCGCCTTTCGAGGCGAGACCGGCAGCACATTACCTCCATTCGACAAGTATTCGAAAACGCCGTCCTTGCGACCAGCCGGAGGGGGCGATTTAGCAATACAAGCATTCCTAAGGACCGATCGGATAAACTGATTGTGAAGAGGAATGTTGTCCCGCCCGAGAATTCTCAAACAAAGCTTATCGAACTCAACTTTATCGACTTTTAAACTCAAGAATCTTTGCAAGTAATAGAAGTACTGCTTCGAACCTTCCATCCCGAGCTTCCTCACAATCTGGCTTTTCAAATCGGCCAGATTGATCCGCGAATGCTCGTTATTCGGCTGCATTACTCCCCACACCAACTCTATAGCCTCGACACCCGACAAATAAACTAAAAAAGATCGAAACTTTTAAGCTAAACTAGAGATGTTTTCCATTTCCAAAACCCCATTCTCCAAACATCATTCATTCTTCCAAACAAATGACCAAAAAATTTCGAATAATTGAAACCCATCTCTCTCAACAATTGGAGGGCTGAGTATCACACCATTAGATCTCATCAAACCAAAACTCTCCCTCCAAACATCAAACAAAGAATTTCAAGAACACTAAACCAAGAAATTAAATTTTATCACAAAAAATTCAGAGCCACAATTCAATCCAAACCCTCCATTGACCTAAATCTCAATCCCCAAATTAAGATTCCTCCCTCCATCTCCAAGTAAACATCACTAACCTCAACAAAAAATAAAATCAAAACAGCACAAATGCAGCCCCTTCAATAACAGATTCAAGCTTGAATTCCCAACTTCAAGTTATGGTTTTTTTTTTCTATGCTCTAATTTCTTGAAGAACACAAATCAAACGAACATAAACAAAAGAATTCAAACTTGATGCAGAAACATGAATGGGCTGACCTTATTGAAGCTCCCCGAATTCAGATTAGGGGAGGGTTTTTGTTTTTTTGTTTTTTTTTTTTCAATATTCGAAAAAAATAAATAAATAAACCACTCTCAGCTTCGTTTTCCCCTTTCTTCCTTCTCCTTCATTCCTCCTTTGAAACCCAATTTTCTTCTCCCACCATTGCTCCTTATCCCTTCAATTTCTTCTGCTTCACATTATCCGTTTTACTCCCCTCTCTTTATTTCTTCCAAGAAACCCTTTTTTTTTTTTTTTTTTTTTTCTGAATCCGAAAATTGAAGAACCCCTTTTTTTCTTTGCTCCCTCTCCGATCGCTCTTCGCTTCGATACTCCCCTTTCTCTCTCTTCGTCTTTCTCTATCTAATTAGAACGTAATGGCTTTCCCCTAATTCTACTCGCACGTACAACGCCCACTTCGTGAGGTACAATACACGGTGGAGTACTCTGTGCTTCTTTGGTTGCACCTGATTCTGGAAGAAGAGAAAATAATATATTGGCGTTATCAATTTTCTGATATGAGAAACTCCGTTACGTGCTTCGCGGCAGAAGGCGGTGGAGGACACGCGAGCTTTCATTGGCTGCTGGGGTGTGACGTGGCCGCATATGATTGGCCCATGGTAGAGGCCTCCTGACTGACATAATTAATCTCAAAGGGTAATTTTTCCATTTTGTTAGTGATTATTTCATTATTAGTTAAAATTAAAAATTTTGTAAGACAGTTTTGAAGACATTAATCTTATTTTGCATCGTCACTTTTAGAAATAATTCTATTTTCGTAACGTTTGCCCAAAAAATACAATTTTTATAATAATTTCGAGTGTATTTCTAAATTTTAAATTAAATTATTTGTTGGCTTTTATTATTTGTATCTACGCCATAAAAACAACATTCTTAATTTAATAGACGTGACGACTGCCTTTTTCAATTAACTACTATTTGGATGTAAAAAATATTTTTCAATGATGATCATAATGTTCGATAAGAAACTTAAATCTATAATGACTTAACAAGTTATTTAAAGTAACTTTCAAATTTAATCAAACTACTAAAATTATATTCAAATTTAAAAATATTATACTTTCCGTATTTACTAATGTAACGTTCTAACTATAAAGTAATCGTAAATAAATAAAACTTTCAAATATAATGATCTAACAAATAAATTCAACTTTAAAAACATCATTCGATCATTTCTTTTTTCTTTTTTTTTTTATCTATTTATTCTTTTCGCCTTTTTTTTCTTTAATTATGAAGTGATCTATCCATAATAAATTATATTCTGTCTAATGTAATTTTATGTAATTAAGATTTTTGTCGTCATATTATAGATTTTATAATTTATCTTTCTAACAAGATGCAAGAATAGAGTAAATTAAGATTTTTTTTTACTATATCAAAGATCAGAATTACGAACAAATTCTTATTTAATATTGATTGCTCTTAATACTGATGTCTATTTATTTTTCAGAGTAGCTCTACTAGATCTTCAACAATGGGAAAATGATTGTACCCCATATCTTAATACTGATGTCTATTTAAGAAATATAATTTATTTTTTTATCTAATTTTTTCAATAGTTTGAAAATAAGAACCTTACTTCGTTTAAAATCGAAAGATCTTCCGATAGGAAGTATCAACATACTCCCTTACCATTCGCCTATACGGTTGAAATCAAATAATCATACAAATTTTGAATTATCCTATAATGTCTTCCACTGTTTGAAAATAAGAACTTTACTTCGTAAAAAATTGAAGGATCTTACTATAGGAAGTATCAACATCCTTCCTTACCACTCTCCTATATGGTTGAAATTAAATAATCATACAAATTTTGAATTATCCTATAATGTCTACAGGAGTGTAATTGGCTACCTGTGTTGTCGTTGGTTCAAGAATATTTCGATTTTTCCTTGACTCTGCAGTAGCATTCCACATATTCGTTTATATTGAACGCAACGCCGGTAATGGATTGAGGCATTGGCGTGTTTCTTCTTGGTATTCCAAGTTCGATTGAAGTAAGCTTGTGAAGGAGTTTGATGAGGAAAATGACAATGACGAATTCGAGAAATTTTTGGGGTTGAAGACGATTAATGAATTTGAGATTGATTTAATGAATTTGTAATTTAATCATTTAGGTTCAATTACAAATACCCAAGGACTAAATATCAATTTCTTATATTATTGAGAGTATATATAGACTTTTTTTTTTCCGATTAATTCAACATCCATATTTAATTCACCACTATTTTATAATTAATAAATAAATAAAACAAAAGTAAACAAAGACTCTCTTCACCCAATATTTTTAGATGTATTGATTTTTTTAGAGTGTGGTATGAAAAATCGTATAAAAAATATAAAATATAGAATACTATTTTAAGTTGAATATTTGATTTTTTAATTTTATTTTAATGAGAATTTGAATTTTTTTTTCACTTCTTAATTTTTTGTAAAAAATATTTTATATTCTTTAATATTATTTTTGGGAATCACAATTCACAAATTTATTTGAGCGAACAAAGCCAAAGCTAACCTCCAAAAAGAACACATTGTTGGAAATTTTCTAACATATAACAAAAAATTTAGGGTGTGAATTTTCAAGTAAGGAAATAAATTAAACATTCAAATGATAATTTTTTTATTTATTTTTTTGATGACGTGAGAACCCGCAACCGCTACCCGAAAATGCGCATTAGGTAAATCCCCAGCCGAACCTAATACCCTGTGAACCAGGCCCGACGGGAAAGTGTTGAATAGTTATTTCTTTGTATTAGATAGAATGTTTGTTCAACACAATAATAGTGTAAGATTAATGTATACTCTACTGCTTTGTATATTTTTACTATATATCTAAGAAAATTCTTTTTAAATATTTTTTTTATTTATATTATACAAAAAAAAAATTGTATTCAGAACATAATATCAATACTTTTTTATATCAAATTAAACCATTATTTCAATTAAATAAAAATAGATTATATTTTTTTTATAAAATATTTTATCTCAACATTTTTGTTCTTTACTTTCTTATATTGATTTTATTTTATTATTCTAAATTCATGCATTTTTATCTTCTTCCTTTTTGCTTATTTTCTTGTGTTATTTTCATTTATTTTTTCTTTCTTTTTATTTATTCAATCCAATCAATGTAAGACCAACACAGATTTCCTTGTGCTAATTGAAAACCCAATTTTTATTTTTTTTTTATAACTATAAATTATCCTCATTTTTTTTACAATAATTATATAGCTTTTTAAAAATATTTTTTTATCAATATAATACTATTATTCTTTATCTCAAATGTCTCTATTATTTTGGGACAAAAAAAATATATAAAATAAATATAAAATATAAATTTGATTGCAAACTAAGTTTGAAATGCCAACCAAACAAACTCATTATTTATAAAAAATAAAATAAACAATAAAAATTAAAAATTAAAAATTAAAAATAGAAATTATTCAAGTAAGAAAGTCAGATTTTTTGGTGTCCCGAAACCTCAAATATTTTCCAACTTTTGTAAATTAAATAGTAAGATATTTTTAACTTGGGGTTAGATTCCGGATTCGATTCTAAGTGATTTCTCTTATATGTGAATGTGTGGGGTAAAAAAAAAATTGATTCGATCAACAATGGTGCACTTGGTCGCGTAATAAAATTATTCGACAACATTAAGGAAGGTTGTTTTACATACATACGATACACACGACGCATGTATGCTCGCCGTTGAATCAATTGTTAGCATACGCACATGTCGTAAGAACAACACACAAGACATCACGACACAATACATCATCGCAACTCCAAAGAACTATACATATGTCTCCGACAAACCTACGCCGGCTTCAGCCCATGTTTAAGCGCAGCTTTCCACACAACGTCGATTTGATCCACATTGATCGCCCCGACCTCGTGGTGCTTCCATCCCTCAAGCAAATGAACCACCCCGCCCGCGTGGCACGCGTGCACCACCCCTCTCTCCATCGTATACTAATATCGACCGTAAAAAAATTAAGATCCCACAAACTTAGCCTGAGTTCAAAATATATATTGTACAATTTTTACGATTCTCTATAAATATATATATAATTTCTTTTGAAAAAAAATATCACATCCCATCTTCATTTAAACATAAAATATAAATATAAACATTTGGTTTCAATATTTTTATTATGCACTAAATGCAACTTTCTATAAAAATATAATTTTTTTATTCATAAAATATCACATCTAAATCACTGTTAAAAACAAAAAAATCAAAACAAAAAATAACACAATCACATACCCTTTGATAAAAAAAAAAAAAAAAAAGAAAAAAAGAAAAAAAAAGACAAGTTTTATAAATTGTACTTTTCCATTTATTTATTTATTTATTTTTTATTTTGTTTTATTTTGTTTCAAATTCACTGTAACAATTTCAAATTTAGAAATAATTAATTATATTTTTATATATATAAAAATATACACTTAATTTTTCTCTTCACATCACTTAAATAAAAAAAATAAATATACGTTTATCTCTTTAATCACGTCACCTAATCTACAAATTATCTCAAATTACCCTCTCTAATACTATCCACCTAAATTTTGATGTCGAACTCATATGTTGCACACGGTCTGAGACTGAGGGAATACTAATTTAAAAAAAAAAAAATTCTTTATTTATCTTTTTAGTAAAAATTCACATATACTTTTTGTTTTTTATTTAATATTTTTTTACTAAAAAAAATATAAATTATTATCTATCGAAAATATAGCATACCTCGCATGAGCCGAGCCCTTCGACATCATCGGGGAGCTTCATCGCGGCAAGTTTTCCATAAGTACAATCTCTTCGGAATGGAATCACTGGTGGCACGACGAATTGATGAAAATGAGTCCCCGACGGAGCGTAGTATTGCTCCCGAGGCGTCGCCCACTTTCCGATGATCCATGTCTGAAAATTTTCGCGTTATTACAACAAAAGTTAGCGAATAATGTTCAACAAAACTCTCGAGAAGTGTAAGAGTTGCTAATTTAGAGCAGACTATGGCGTGCCTTGCAGTGCTTAGCTGCTTCATACTTTGTAGCTTGAACTAAATACTTCTGGCACTCGATCGGCGCCTCTTTTTGAATCTTTAAGAATCGATCCTTCGATAATGTCAGCATCTGCGTTGTAAGAACACAAAATCGAAGTCTTGTCGAAAATGTTGGAAGACTGTCCCATCAATGATGCGTATTTCTACCAGCTTAAACTTTTAGGTGAAATAAAATCACTTAACATATAAATGGTATCAGAGTATGTTCTTATAAAATTTAAATTTTTAGGTGAAATGATCATTTTACAAGAAAAATATTTTCGTAATTGAATTACTTTTAAGCGGAAAAATCTTCGGTAGAACTTACGAGCACTTTAACCTTGCTGCGCGCGAGGTAGAGTGCGATGGCTCTACCGAGCTTCGACGTTGCTCCGGTCAAGAAAACCTCGTCGACATCCCTGGGAATCTCTTGTAAGATCACGGCGGCCGTTAGGGTGTTTCCGTGCACCACTCGAACTCGAAGGTTCGGATGCTTCTCGGTGAAGCGAATCCCACCGCCATTAAGCCCTTCGTTCTACAAAAACATATCATCTTGCTCGATTTCAGTATATCGATCACCCGAATGTATCGAGATTTCTACGGTGTTCGAAACCATTTTTACCTTGTTCAATGCTGCAAGGCTAATGACCTTGACGCCGAGCTTATCGGCCGTCAAAATTGCGTCTTCGATTTGGTTGTTTATTCCCTCGGCAGCGAACGGTAGAAAATACTACAAAGAACGTAACAAACGATAAGAATTAAGATCCGTTGGATGATAACGTCGAACGATCGTTTCTCCGGGTGATACCTGAAAACCGAATCGCGGCACGGCCCATGTCTGGTGGAGTCGACCGCGGAGATAGTAAAACCCGAACAAGAAGGTTTTCGACCGCGCCCACATCACAAGCATCACCATGAAAGTGTACGGCCACATCGGAAACAAGAACGGCTTCACCCGAAAAGGGATTGAGCTAAATGAGCGGAACAAAAACGACGCGTGCATCGCCGACATTATATCCACGACGTGCGCGAGGAACACGAAGTCGGGGACTCTGCTCTCTGCGACAAAACGAACGCAACTACGGCGTTAACGACAAAAATAAAAAAATTCATTCCATGAAAAGTTAGATCCCAATCGCAATCGCGACTCACTCGTCCGCGAGCTTATCTCCTCGTGAAGCTTCCAAGAACCCGCGTCGATCGTTCCCCAAATTTTGTCGAACAACGGCATGAAGAGGCAAAAATTCGTCGCCGCATTCTTATGGTGAAGACTATGGTACCTGCACGACCGGGACGACAAATTAGCCTCCGGCATTCATAATTACGGCGCTAAGAACAACAACATCGTACACATACGTCGGCGTATATATGACGTATCGAAGAATCGGGAGCGCATCGAACAGGCGAAAAGGAACCACTTCGACATTGCAATGCCCCATACATCTTAGAAAATCAAAGACCAACAAATAGCCGTAAATAACGGCGATCGATCCGTAGCCAATGCAGGCAGTCCCCAAAGTCGGGATTCCCACGACGACGCCGAGCAATAAATGCTCGAAGAACGACAAATGCCCCGCTGTGAAGGGATGCAACACTTCGGAGCTGTGATGAAGCCAATGGTAGCGCCAAAACAGCGGCGGGGAATGCAATAATCGGTGAATCCAATAGTACAATGGCTCGGCGATCGCGACGTGAAGAATTACGCAGAAAATCGCGCCTTTAGCGTCCCACATCGGAAGATTAGCCAAGGAAGGGAAGCTCAAGCACAAAAGGGATCCCAAAATGGATTGTAGGATCAGGAAATTGTCCCTGCAATTACGAATTCGATCGATAAAAACGAAAAATAATTCAATCGATCCATAGGGTATTTATTACCAATGCCATTCGGCATCGATTTGTCCGAACTCGACGCCGCGGTCGTCGATCCGTTGGGCTCGATTGAGGAAAAGCATGTTGCTGTAAGTGCTCCATAGCTGATGAATCAATGCTCGAAGCCCTAATACGATGAGAATATGTAAGTACCAAATAGATTCGTGGTTGAGAATTTCCATGGTGTAAATGGCGTGGATGGATTTCCCGACCAACGGTCCGTACAGCAAATACTGTCGTCGTCATCAGACAAGCAAAAGCACAAAACGAAATAATCGATATCAGGATTCAGACAGGCAACAAAAGATGAATCGAAAATGGATAAAATGAAGAAGAAGACATAACTACCTACCTTGAAGTTATCCAAATTCTGCCATGGCCAGGAAAACAGAGGACCTTCAGCTTTAGTCCTTCCGCTAACAGCTCCTCCTTTCTCTTCCATCTTCGTCCTCATCTGCTCCACCATTTTTCTCAGACAACAACAAATCGATTATGTCCGAATCTGCTGACTGTAACCGATTAATTCGGCGAGAATCGGAGTTCGAATGAGTGAGAGAAATGAATAATAATAATACTACAGTCTACAGCTGACAGCTGTCGAAGAGGTGCCATCGCCATTAAATTGGAGGAGGTATTTAATAGAAGAGACAGGGGATGTAATAAGGGAGATTATCTCGACATCATTATTATCAGCTAACAAAAGTCAAAACTCTTCGATTACAGTTGAGGAGTTTTCGGTTAATTTCGAACACGCAAACTACTTACTTGCTTAACAGCTCGGTAATGGTATTTCTCGACATTTAATGGCGGAAGTCTCCATCAGCCATTAATGACTCTTGGAGCTCGAACGATCCCAGTCTGGAAATATAAGAAAGGTAGTGTCCTGTTTGCCCGAAATACAGATACGATTCGATTCGGACATTCGAGAAATTGGAAAGAAATTGAATTAGGGTTTGGTTGAGGAGCCATTGGGGGTTTCCTTTTTACCTAACCGCCATTTATTGATCTGCTTGCAGCCGTAATAATGGTGATCCGCGGGTGCATGGGTTTGGTTATTATTTTTTTAGGGGGAAATCTGACGGTTGATGTGGAGACACGTGGCGAGATATCGACGGCCCGATGGATAATTAATTGTAGATGAGGTACAGTACAGAGAGGGGGAGGTGAATTTAATTCGGCGGCAAGGGAATAAATCGCTGTCTTATAGTTTAGCGCTTTTGGTAGAAATCGCGTTTTTGGTTGCCTGTACTTGTAGGATCGACACGTGGCCTGGTGGTTGGTTTAAGGATTTGTTTGATTTATAGTATTTGAATTTATGAGTTTTCCTATTCAAAGTTTGAGAATAATATTTTATTAAAATAAATAATAATTCATACCTCATTTAGTTTTTTTTTTTTTATTTTTTTAATTTTTGGATTGCCATGAAAAAATATCTTTTGTTTCCTTTTTAAAAATATCACTTTTTCATATTTTTATTATTTAAAATAAAAAATTATTATTATTATATTTTTACTAAAAATGCATGCATAAATATTTGAACATGTATTTTCGGTAACGGATAAATATATTTTTATTAAAAATTCATATAACAAATACTCTGTGAAATACGTACTATTTACCTATATTTAAAAGAAAAAAAAAATCACTCACCCCCTATATTTAATTGATTTTGATTTCAAATTAAACTTTTTTATTTACTTTATACATAGTTTTAATAAAATATTATTATTTTTATAAATAATTATATTAAATTACTATCTAAATTAAAACTCAAATGAAACAGAAAGCAAACAAACCCTTGTGTAGTTATATACATATGTAATTAAAAATATGCATCTATTGTGTGAATGATCCTAAAATAATATATATGTATTTTAATTTTTAGATGAGATAGGTGTAATAGCTCGTTGAGGTCTTATGTAATTTACTTTTATTTATGGAATATTATATTATCATTTTCATAATATTCATTTTCATGTAATATATATATATATATAATTTATTCAACAAGCTTGGAGTAATAAACTCTCGAAATTATATACTCCCTCCGTCTCAATACAATAGTCTTGTTTACTATTTTTTTCCGTTCCAAAACAATAGTCTCGTTTCTATAAATAATCATATCACTATAAAACTATCCTTACTTTTTCGTTATTATTACACAATTGCCACTATTTTTTACACTAATACACTCACAAGGGCCAAAAAATATTTTTTTCAGTACTTTTTACACATTACTAATATAATATCAATATTTTTTAAATTCCGTGTCAAATACAACCAAAACTATAGTTTTGAGATAGAGAGAGTACTTTATTTATTGTTATTTATGTGTTTGTTATGTTACTTAGCACTATGGTGTGAAAGGAAAAAAATTAATTCACTATACAATATTATTTCATGTGCTTCTGTTTTTATTAAAAGAAAAAAAAACTATACTTTTAATTTAAATTTAAAAAAAATATTAATAATGTTAGTTACTCTCCAGTCCCAAACATCTTGCAACATTTCTGTTTGGCGCGAGAATTCAGGTGGAAGTATTAAGTATGATAATCTGAGATAATTTGGATATTAAGTGATGTGATTGGAGAGATAAATGATTATTTAGTTTTTTATTTGAGTGATGTGATGGGATAAAGTGAAGTATACATTAATATATGTATATAAATATTATTAATTATTTCTAAATTTGGAAATATTGCAGTGAACTTGGGACAAACAAAAAAAGAAATATCGCAAGGTGTTTGGGAGAGATGGAGTATTATATTACACGTTTATATCATTATATTTGTTATTTATCAAATCAGTATATATATATATATATCAAAACTCCTAAAATTCATACAAAACCTACTGATAATACAATTTATCAAAACTATCTTAAAATTCAAATATAATCTAAATCCAAATCAATTTTTTTTTCAAACTTTTTCCAAATGAAAGCAATTATGATTTGTTTGGTTTCGATTTAAAATTGATGTGGTGATTTAAATTTTGATTATGATAAAAATATCTTTATCAATCTCTTATAATACAAATAAATAATTATTATTAAATAAATATAAATATACAAATATTATCAATCTCTTATAATACAAATAAATAAGTAATTATATAAATATAAAAATATTATTAATATTAAATGCAATAACACACAAGTAGTTTTGTCTTTTTAAATAATAATATTCTCTCCGTCCAATAACAAAGTATCTATTTTCTTTTTTAGTAATTGCATTATCTACCTAATATTATAAATATCGTTATAACTTACAATATATTACACAAATGTCATTAACTTTATATCATACATACTAATAAGGTTATTTTAGTCGTTTCTACTTTATTTCTACTACATCTTAATATAATACTAATACTCCCTCCGTCCACTTACAATGTTTACATATTTCTATTTTGGGACGTTCAATTACAAAGTTAACATTTCATTAAATACTCTATTTTTTTCCACAAATACCCTTAGTTTACATCGCATCATTACTTTTACACAAAAAATATAAGGGCAGAAATGTCATTACACTATTTTTAACTTGTCACTATAATTAAAATACTATTATTTTTTAAACACGGTACCAAAAGTAAATGTAAATATTGTAAGTGGACAGTGAGAATATTTTTAAAACTATGTGAAAAAACAAATGAATATTTAATTATGAGACGGATAAAATAATAATAAACAAATCCCATAAATTGGATAATAAGAAGTGAATAAAAATAATAAAATAAAAATATAAAATAACACGTGGTATCTTATATGATTTGATTTGATATTATGGTATATCTGTTACCTAACACCTGATTGGTTAGAATTAAATGCAAATTTGTTGGTTGGTCACTTCATATGCTTATCACTTTCCCAATTCTGTCTATACCCTTACCTTCCATTATATTTGTTGAGATATATTTCCATCCAATCAAAATATAAATTTGGATTTTTATAATAGATCATAAATAATACTATTTTCGTCCGGTTTTAAAAGTCTCATTTATTTTTTGTGTATTAATTTTTAAATATTAATTATTATATTAAAATTTAGTATACATTAAAAAAATTGTAAAAATATTTTCATTAGTGTTTTATAATACTAATAGAATGACAGTTATACAAAAAAAATTATACAAATATAAGAATATTTTTTTATGTTAAGGACAATGATGCAAAAGGTAAATATGAGCCTCCGTCCCATTGAAAGGGTAACATTTGTTTTTTGCACGTAGATTTGTTATTATTAGTATTATATTGGATTGTAGCAGAAAATACAAAAATACCCTATTAGTATGGTGTAATATAAAAGTAATGATATTTATATAATATATTATAAATTGAAAGGGTATTTATTATATTAGGTACGTAGTACAATTACTAAATTAGAAAATCGTAACTTTGTTTTGGAACGGACAAAAATAGAAAATTGTAAACTTTCAATGGGACGGACGGAGTATAATAATTTTAGTATTTTTGTAATTTATTTAAAAATTTAAATATTTTGATATTAATATTTTATTATTTTTATTATAATAAAAAATAAATACTTTTGAATGAGATATGCAAATATATTAAAAAGATATTAATATTGACAAATGAAATATATATTCAGAAATAATTTATATGAAAAATAGTAACACTAACAAACACACTTGTATTTATTCTCTGTGTGTTCGTTTGATAGATTTGGACAAAATCTCACTATTCATCCAAAATTTTCCCTCTAAAAACATCAAATCAAACACCTATTTTTTATTTTTTATATTATACTAAAAATCAATTTTACCTTCAAAACATCACATCATCACCTATTTATATAATATCATACAATTATTCAAATTCAAAATTTTTATTATTTTCACTAGATCGTATGAGTTTCGGGTTTTATATCATTTAAAATACGATATATTATGAGATAAAATAATACTTTATTCGTCTTATATTTATATATCTATTTGCTTTTTGTACGGATTTTTAGAAATATTAGTATTATATTGAGATAAAGTAGAAATAAAGGTAAAATGACTAAATTAACCCTATTAATATTGTATGATATAAAGATAATGACCTTTGTGTAATATATTATAAATTGGAAGGATATTTATAATATTAGGTAGATAGTACAATTATTAAAAAAGAAAATGAATATTTTGTTATGAGACGAACTAAAATGGAAAAAATGAAGAAATTGTTAAATGACAGAATGAGTAAATTTTATTAATAAAAAAGAATATGATAATTTTTTATATTAAAAATAATTAAAATCAAAATTCAAATAATTGGTTGATGGTTGATGTAGAAAATAATCAATGATTATGACGCATGGCTACCACCTAAAATGCATTAATAAATTATTATTATTAATATGCATTAAGTTCTATCTAAAGCATAATTCTAAACTTACATATAAATAAATAAATTTAAATAATTGATTGATTGAGAAGTATACTGTAATATCGTCCTCTCAACACTATTTTTTAATTATAATTTTAAAAAGTAATAATAAATAGAAAAAATGAAATAAAAAAAATCAAATATTTGTTACAAAAGTCATATTCAATTTAAAATAATATATTTTATATTTTTGACACAATTTTTCATATAACACGTCGAAATTCAATCCATCTAAAAACGTTGTGTGAGAATCTATATTTACAATAATATTTCTGTTTTTGCAATATTTTTTAAAGTTATTTTAATTTTTTATTATATAATTATCATAATTCTTTATATCAAAATATTTTATATTTATTTTGTATTTTGAAATGGATGTATTTTTTATGTCAAATATAAAAAATTATATTGGTAATATTTCAGGTGGGACGTATGGAGTATTTTGCGTTGAATTTTTAATTTTTTGTGAATCGATAAAATGAATATATTATATAAATATATATATTGAGTTAATATGTATATATTGTACTTTATTTATTAATATTTTATAAGAAATCATACCACCTAAAAAACATTGTTTGTT